ATATTAAGAAAAAAATTGTAAATGGAAGATTATAAGAGAGTGTTTCGCGTGCCAGCAAAAGTTACTGGCGTGCCATGTTTGGCACGCGTGCCAGGGGTTGCCCACCCCTGCTCTAGGACATCCTCCAAGAAGAGCTGATTTGCTTTTGTACCTAATCATGTACTGACATTGGTCATATTGCACATGTCCTAATCTCCTCTCACTGAGTCAGCTTTCTGAAGCAGAATCTTGAGAACAGAGCTCACATATTATTCAGCTGGTCAGTATTTGCCTCCCCTGCAGTCTCTTGCATCGTTCTAGGCACAGAGCATGGGCCTAATAAAAAATCTGCCAAAGTAATAAAAATGCAAAGCCCAACTTGTAGAGATACCCTTAGATGTTGAATTTTCCCACAGGAAGGTAGACTTTTTCAAAGCACTTCAGAAATTTCTCTGAGCACAGGGAACACTTAGACCTTCGGCCCAAGTGGAAACCAATTCTTTGGTGGTGAGTGATCATGGCTCCTCAGCGCTCAAGGGACTCATGGGACTGCTTCACTTCCTTAGGCAGGATCTGTGCCTTATTTGCAATTCAACTTTGGGCAAATCTGCCCTCCTCTGTAAAGTGGAGATAATGCACTATCTCACAGGGAGCTTGTGTGGATGAAATGGCACGGAGGCCCTTTTATAACCCGCAACGAACGAATGCATGTAGATCTTTACTTAATGGTGGTTCTGCTGGGAGAGGCCAAAGGATTTGAAGGGGAAGCTGGTATGTACAGGAAGAATGTGACATGTGCTGGTTCTGGTTGAGCTCGAAGCACTCAAGTGGAATGCTCAGTAAGTAATGTAGGGCTGGAGTCTGAAAGCAAACTGGTTGTTTAAATGGTGATAGTAATGAAAACGTTTCATTGATTCACTGTTGTGTAACAGGTGCTTGTTTGTTTGCTGCAGTTTTAAATACCTCAATTTGAGCTCTAAACTGAAATGGGAGGTGGTTGTTTTTTTAAGTTGCAGAGTAGATTACACCATACTAGAGGGGAAAAAGCCACTCTACTTTAAATTTTGATGTATTTAAGCACTCATCATGGTGTATGTTGGTTTTCAACCACACGGGCCTGAAAAGCTAGCTCAAAATGACATATTGGTCCAGCTCTTAATTCTATCCACTCAGAATACCTTTCTTTAGTTTTAAAAGTAACTATACAAATAATGCATGAATACATTTTTCTTGTAAAAAGTTAAAACATTGCAAATAAGGCCAAAGAAAACCTTTTACCAACGTGCCCCAAATTCTGTTTATGTATATATTTGTATAGAGAATAGGTCTGGAGTGTTCATTTGTCTCATACTATTGTCCTCTACCCCACATTTCCTTCTGCTACTTGTGTTTCTCACTAAATAGTACATCATGATGACCTACAAATATTAGAGTGTAGGTAAATATTAATATATTAGTATTCCTTATTTGCTGACATAGGTATGCAGGTATATAAATATGGTGACTGTGTGTCCCAGTTTGCCCAGGACCATTTCAATTTTATGCTTGTAGTCCCATCCTAGTTTTTTTAAATATATTTTTATTGATTGCAGAGAGGAAGGGAGAAGGAGAGAAAGATAGAAACATCAGTGATGAGAAAGAATCATTGATTGGCTGCCTCCTGCATGCCCCACGCTGGGGATTGAGCCTGCAACTGGGGCATGTGCCCTGACCGGGTATCAAACCGTGACCTCCTGGTTCATAGGTCGACGCTCAACCACTGAGCCACACCAGCTGGGCCCATCCTAATTTTTAATAGTGTCCCTATCACTCTCAAATGTGTCCCCTCTGCATAAGCTAAATGGTCACATAGTAAATACATATGTACTCTTACAATTACATAAACAATTAAGTATTTTTCATAATCTATGTGTTAGAAGTTATCAGAAAGTGGTTGTGAGGGGAAAATGTCATTTTTACTTGTATAGTAAGGAAATCCTAAATTCTGAGTATGAGGCAATATTCTACCAACACTGAAATATCAGTATAAAATTACCTAGCTAAAGAACATTTTATGTATACATGTTTGTCAGTGATCCTTTTATGTAGCTAGCAGCAAAACACATGTCCTGGTGGAATAGAAGGTACTCTGACATGTGGGTAGTATAAAAGCACACGCTGGTACTCGTTTTCATTGAATGCTGGTAACTAAGAAAAGAAAGCCATGATGTAAAATATAGTCAAAGAACTCCTCTATAGTGCATGCAAAATAAAACAAATATCAGTCAAAATTGGTAAAGCCAAGTAGTAAACAATGATAATATATTTGAATAAACTCCTCTGCCAGTAACCATTGTGCATGTGAACGAATAAAGATTTCAGTAAATATTGGTACAAATTATGCAGCACAATGGTACACTTAAAAGAATTCCAATTTCAACCTTGTGAATGCAGCAAAAATAAACTCTTTCAGAGAATACTGTAGTATTCCAACAACAAGGAAATATTTCAATGAATTCAAATGGAACTTGATAGTTCAGTAAATAGAGCAACAAGTATTTGTAAAATGCATTATACTCTTCATTTTCACAAAACCTAAAAAGCCTGAGTATAGGTAATTCTCCTTATAATTGGCCAAGGCTGCATTAGCAGT